AAATAAAGATGGAGTTGTGGTGCCCATTTTATAGATGGAGACATCAAGGTTCAGAACAGCAATGTAACCAACCCAAGGGCACATAGGCAGGAGGTGGCAGAGCTGGTGTCCAGCTTAGATCTGAACATATCTCCCACAGCATGCTGTTCATTGCCCAGGATTAGCTGAGAAGATCAGAGTGCATTAGGGGAGGAAGAATTGCTCAAAAAATGATCAAAAGAACAACTTTAATGCACAAGGCAAATTGGGGATGTGAGTCTCTGATTTCATTGACACTTAAACCAAGAGACCAAGACCATATGAAACCAGCCTGAATGAACTTATGTGAAAAACTGACCATATCAGAGCCAAAATCCCTGAGCTTATTTCATGAGAGCATGTCTAATTATTACTTGTTTGATGTGGTTAGTATGGTCAATATTAAATTAGAGGCCAAGCAAGGCAGCACTTGGATCCGCATAAATTTCTTGGAGTCAGTGGCCCAAAGTTTAACAAAAGTGTCTTGTCTGGGCACAGTGGCTCATGCCTGTAATCCTAGCACTTTGGGAGGCCAAGGCAAAACCAGCCTGAGCAAGAGTGAGACCCTGTCTCTACAAAAAATACAAAAAAGGTGTTGTGGCAGGTGCTGGCAATAGCTTGTAGTTCTAGCTACTCAGGAGGCTGAGGCAGGAGGATTACTTGAGCCCAAGAATTTGAGGTTGCTGTGAGCTGGGCTGATGCCACAGCACTCTAGCCTGAGGGAGAGAGTAAGATTGTTACTTGGGGAAAAAAAGTGTCATGTTGCTCCTAGAAAATTACCAAGCCATAGGAATTACCCCCAAGCTAAGTGATTAGAAGAAATGGGTAAATTCTAGAAACTGCTATTTCAGATATCTTCAAGTCTGTGTTCTCATTCTGACTTACAATCCATCCTGAACACTTTGGTTTTCCTATCAATAAAATGGGGATGTGTTGGGTGCCTCTTGTCCAGGCCCCTGCAGCAGCTGGTGCCCATTAGTATTCTGTGATGGTCTGTTCGCATCTTTCCTTTCAGACTCTGGGATCCCTGAGGTCAGGGACTGTCTCCTTCACTGTAGCGTATGAGCTCCTGGTGTTCCATAGTGAATGCATAAATGCACAAATGTGCAGAATTATGAATAACAATAACAGTCTACTGTGAGTAGGGTGCTGGAGTCCTCTTGATTAGCTTGCAAGAGTAAATAGTTAAATACTTAAGGATTTCAAAAGCCTGTTGTTAAATTATTAGTAGCTTGAAGTTGACCATCATGGAAGCATTTACACCATAGAAATTGGCAAGTGCTACAAGGTTAGGACTTCCTCCTCATTTACCAGCACATTGCTGGATAGCACTTGGTAGGTCAAACAGTTTTAAGACCTTTACAGATCTGCATTTAACTCTCACAACCACCCTATGAGGAAGTCACTGTTGTCATTGGCATTTTGCCAATGGGGAAATTGAGGCTCCAGGAGGCTAAGTCACTAGCCCATGTATGGTCCTTGCCCTCCCTTCCCTGACAGGAAGGTGGGAGAGTGGCTTGTTGGTCCCTGGGCTCAGCTGCCCTTTATGGCATCACAGTCACCAGCTATTTGAATCGTGGCCACTGATTTTAATCAACTCCTCCTGGGGGAGGTCCTCTGGGAGAAAAGAAGTAGTTGCCTGGTGACTAAAGTGTTTCCAGTCCTCGGAAGGTCAAGCTGTGTTATGGGGGGGCTAAGCCTCACCCCACAGGGTGCCCTTCTTCCAGGGCTCCAGAGGACAAATCCAATCAGCACTAGGTAGACCCCATGCAAAGCTGCAGACCTCATTCTCAGTTCTTGCTCTGTTGACAGCAGCAGGACCACCAGCAGGACTGAATGAAAGCCATGACGTCCTGAACAGGAGGACTTGGGCTTTGTGTGGAGAGTGCCCTGCAGCGTGTGCATCATTGCCGACACAG